ATATATATATGTGTGTGTGTGTGTGTGTGTGTGTGTGTGTGACGTAGCCAGTGCTTGATGAAAATAAGGCAGTCAAACTGTTAAATATTAAGCTAGGCATATTTCATTCATATGTCCATTCATTTATTCATTCTTTATTCATTTAATAAATATTTACTTATTTAAAGTACAGAACGTGGGCTCATTGAAATCAAGCAGGGGAGATTGGCCATGTAAAATTATAAGGAATAAAACACACTAACAGTAATGGCTGTACTTAGAAACAGTATAGCATAAGGACTCAGAGAACCGGCTTTGTAAGTAGAGAGGATGAGAATGGGCATTCCAGGTAAGCATGCAAGTGAGAATGGAGGAGGTTGGAATGTTTGGGAGATAATAAGTGGACCAGTTTTTGAAACTGAAAGGTCATTCAGGGAAACAGAGTGAGAATGTTGGTAAAGTAACTTCATATCTTCTATAAGGTACATAGAAGAGAAATTGCTATATTATTTAAGCAGAGAATGTAATGAAATTTACAGAACTGGAAAGGATCTCAAAAATCATTGAATCCAATTGTTCATTCTGCCAATGAGAAAACAGAGGCCCAGAGCAAAGGATGTGCTGAAAGCCATGTAGTCTTCAGAAGAGATATTGCTAGAAGCCAGGATCGCAACATTGCCTCTTAGTCTCTCCTTGCCCTTAAAAAATACAGACAAAAATTATCAAGATATATAGAATATGGAAAATGTCTTCATGTTATAAAGTAACTTGCCATAAAAAAAAAGAAGGAAAGAAACCCTGTTGCTATCAAGTCAGTTCTGACGTATAGCAATCCTACAGGACAGAGTAGAGTTTCCAAGGCTGTAAATATTTATGGAAGCAGACTGCCACATCTTTCTCCCACAGAGTGGCTGGTGGGTTTGAACTACCGACCTTTTGGTTAGCAGCCAAGAACTTAACCACTGCTCCACCAGCACCCCTAACATGCCCATAGTCATGCTTAATTCAGTAGCTAGACTTGGGTTGAATTCAAAACCTAGCAATCTAACACACACGTGTTTATTGTCTACTCTGTATTTCAGACACTGGATACAGTGATGAACAAGACAGACGAGATTCCTGTTCTCACAGAGCTTCTAGTGGAGAAGCTAATACATAAATTAATTTTTTAAATCAAGAAAATTATCAAATCATGTTAAATACTTTTCAGAGAATTAAAATAGGCTGATATAATATAGAATGAGTGGATACTATTTTGGATGGTCAGGTGAGGCCTATCTAAGGAGGACGTTAGAACCTAGATCTGAATGACAAAATCTTGAGATGTTCAGGGGCTGGAGCCTTCAGAGGGAGCAGTTAGTATAAAGGCCTTCAGGCTAGAATGAGCTTGGCAGTTTTCAAAGAAAAGAAAGAAGGCCAGTGAGGCTGAATTTTAGTGGGAATGTGGAAGAAGGAGGAACAGGAAAGGTGAGAGAGTTCAAATCATTTTGAGTTATGTAAGTGCTACAGCTGCTAACCAAAAGGTTGGCATTTCAAATCCACCTGCTCCTTGAAAACCCCGTGGGGCAGTTCTACACTGTCCTGTAGGGTCGCTATGAGTCAGAATCGACTTGATGGCAACAGGTTTTTTTTTAATGAGTAGGTCAGGATAAGAAGTTCAGATTTTATTCTATGTGATTTGGGAGCCACTGGGGAGTTTTTTGCAGGGAGCGATCTGATCTGCTTTATCTTTTAGAAAGATCACTGTAGCTACTGTTGGAGGAATGGATTGCAGAGGGGCAAAGAGACCAGTTATGAGGCTAATTGCACTGGTCCAGTTGAGAGATGATGGTGGCTTAGATTAAGGTAATGGAGATGGAGAGAAGTGAAGGAATTGGGTATATAGTGGAGAGATGTTGCTAATGGTTTGAATATGGAGGTGGAGAAGAAGAGAGAAATTAGAGAATCTGAGATTTGTAGATTAAGCAACTGGTAGTTGGAGGTGCCATTTACAAAGATGGAGAAGGCCATAGAAAGAGCAAGTGTGGGTTTGGGAGAGGGAGAAAGTTATTGTTTTACCATGTTAAATTTAAAACACTTATTTTTTTTTCCTCAGTAAATATTTATTTAGTATCTATGAGCCACTTTTTTGGCTTTAGGAATATCACATGAACAAATCAGACCAAATTCTCTGCACTTTTGAAGTTTACTTTCTATCAGAGGGTTCAAGAAATAAAAGTAAGTAAATATATAGTGTGTAAATGGCAGTAAGTGTTATGGAGTGAAATAAAGTAGGGAAAAGGGGATAGAGAATGCTGAGATAAAATCTATAATAAATAACGTGGTCAACAGTGGGAAGTCTTTACTGATAATGTGACATGATAAGAGATGGGAAGGAAGAGAGTGAACCTTGCAGATAGATATCTAGTGGAAGAACCTCCAGACATCCCTCCAGACATCTAGTTGGAGGCATCAAGTGGAGAGTGAGATATGAGTATGGATTCCAAGCAGAGGTCAGAGCTGAAGATATAGATTTGGGGGACATGTATATCAAGAGATGGTATCATATGAGGTCACCAAGAAAGAGTGTGTAAGTGGAGAAGGAAGGAGCCTCTGTTGCTCTCTAATGTTTGGGGCTAAGTAGAAGAGGAGATGACAGCAAAAGAGACAAAGAAGGAGCAGCTATTGAAGTAGGCAAGTAGGAGGAAAACCAGGTAAATGTGGTGAAAACACACACACACACACACACACACACACACACGAGGCATTTCAAGAATAAGAGAATGGTCAGCATGTTGAATGTTGCCAAGATAAGGACAGAGATGAGATCATTGGATTTGGCAACATGGAGCTCATTGGTAACCTTGACAAGAGCAGTGTAGGTAAAGAAATGGGGACAGAACAATGGAATTAGTTGAGGAGAATCCGAAAATTGTAAGAGTGATGTCCTTGAGAAGGGCATAGGGGGTGGAATCCAGATCACAAGTGGAGTGTTTGGTGTTTGAAAGAAACAAGGAAAATTTATCCATGCTAGTAAGACGGAAGGCATCTGGGTACGGGTAGAGTTAGGTTGGTAGATTTGATGATGGGGAAAAAAAGAGAGTTCCTATCTGATTTCTTCTACTTTTTTTCAGTGAGGTATGAGGTAAGTTCATTAACTAAATGGGGTTGGGACAAGGAGGTTGAATGCCAGGTTTGAAGAGGGAAGAGATGGTGTGAAATAGCTGTTTAACTGCCTGACATTCAACTTACAAATGATCATTCTCAGGTAATGACTCTGTGTGATTTTTATCCCTCAGCCAAGAGGTTAGAGTCCTACCAGGAGGCTATCTCAGAAGATGAGGATTTTGCAGACACTCCCAGCGGCTCTCTAAGCAACATGGCGAAACTGAAGGCCCACAGCTGCAGGATGGCTCATAATGGGTCTTTGGGAAATAAACCTTCAAATCATCTTTCTGGAAGCTGTTTTGCTCTGGGAAGTGGAGAAGGAGCCAGTGAAGTGCCTCCTTCCAGACAGGCAGCTTTCAGTAGCCCCATTGTAAGTGTGAATGCATAATTAATCTTGTACATCCGCAATGTATGATGAAAGAGCATCCTCATAATTATGATAGAGCCCAACAATGTTGTCTTTTCTACCTCAGAAGAGACTACATAATTGCAGTCCAGTGTGATTGCCACACATAATTAGAAGTTCAAGCAAGCAAAATCACAACTTCCTAATATATGGACATAATTCAATGTTGAGAAGTAGCATATAATTTCTGAAAAAATATATTTCTGGTCGGGGCCAATCATGTCTGAGCCTGAGGAAGTCTACCTTGGTCTAAGGACTACAGCTCACTCTCAGAACCAGCAAAGCTTATCAGAGTTATCTGGTAGACAGGTAAGTATGGCTAAGTGATAGGGAAATTCAAAGGTTTTTTTGTGTCCTCCAAGGCTTTAGTATTTCTTTGTAACTTTCCTCAAATCCCACCAAGCCTATGACCTCCTCCCCATGCCTAGCCCCCAGAGGGGCATTTTCTGGTATTTCCATTTCAGAGCTCAGCAGCCTGTGTCTTTGAGTACCGGGGGGAGGGTTGGGAATTAACCGTCGAGTCACACCCATTGACAAGTTCATTTTACAGCCCAAAAAGTAGAAGGCCATATGAAAAAGGGGAAGCAGAAGAAAAGTGCTTTTGTGAAAGAGTTACAAATCAAAAGTTTTGTAGTACTTAAAATTAATTCTATAAAATCTCTTCCTTTTTTGCCTGTCACGTTTCATTGACCCATCTGAGTTACCAGCCATGACACTGGTGACTCATTGGTGACCTCTGAAATAGCTGACATGACAAGAATAAATCAGCTTCCGGGAACCATTGTGTGTCCACACTGAATTTACTGTATGAATTTTTCCAGTGGAAACATGGTATGAATAGACCCCAGGGGTATGATTTATCTGGAAAAGACTCTGAGGGGAATCTCTAGGCTCTTTGCAAAGTTGCCAGCAAGTGTGCAATTGCAGCAACTAGAATGGTCATTTCAGCCCAGCTGCCTTCACTTCTGTGGCACATAAGATATAAAACCTGTTACCTCATCTCTTTGCCACACATCAAGCCACTTCAAACATTGAGACTTAATACTTCTCTGACTTCTGAATAAGAAAGGGATGCACACAGCCCCAGCTCTATACTCATTCTAAGGCTATATTGGAAATATAAGAAATTTTCTTATATTTTTGCTTTCTACCTGTGATCCTTCACACGTTCCACCCACCTGAAGTTTAACCACATCTTGACTCACTGATCAGAGGTAGAAGTAGCGAGATATTGGCAAGCAACCTAGCCTGTGCCATGCGCTCCCTCTTGGTTTCCTGATCCAGCCTCACCCTCTTCTTGAATGAAGCCTCCCTAATAACAAATGATTTACCTGTTAGTTTCATGGTTTTATGCCTTATTTATGTCATTTCCCCTGACTAGAATATATTCTTCCCTCATAGCACACCTCTGTCCCCCCAAATCTGATGAAATATTTATTTCTTTAAGAACTGCCTTAAATATTACGTCTTCTGAAAAGACTTCCCAGACATTCCCTTCTCTCAGCTTGCATAGCAGTGTTTACACATTCTTCCCTCCATTGTCCTTGTTCCTGCCTCTGACATTACACCATTTCATGGATTCATCATTATTCTTTATC